AAAACACGAAAACGGCACTATTTTGCACTTACCAATAAAAAAATTTCTTCAGTATCAGAATACAATGAACACTTGTTCCCCTTTTGTAAAGTGAAAACAAATTTTTCAAGGATCTTTGGTCAACAAAAACGAACGACAGCAATTCGAACACAATCGAGTCGGAGCAGCTTATTTCTAAGCTCATTACAGCTGCTTATTGACTGCGAAACAGTTCTGTTCCCAGAGAACTGTATGCAAATATCGACTGCAACAGCATCCTGCATCTCAGCAATAGTAAATTCCTGCACCGCAGCAATATTCCTGTCGTGCTCCAGTACTGCCAGCAGTACTCGTCCGGTTAAACTTTGCCTGTCCAGCCCCACTCGCTCTGTTATTCGTGGATAATGCACCCATAGCGTGCATGTCAACATGCTTAACACAAAACATCAAATACGCGCCGAATTTCAGAATCGAAAACGAGGTTAACTCAATTGAAATACAGCGAAATTGTTTCAAACAAGAGATCGTAATTTTGCTTTAGGATAAAATGATCAGAATAAGGTAAACACAACTTAGACCAGTGGTGCTAGTTTAAAGCAAATCTTAAGCCAAGCGCAAACATTGCTTTACGCTGCAAAATCATGATTTTTAGCGGATTGGAGAGTTTTATCATGATTTCTTATCCTTTAGCAATTCGCTAAACTTCATGATTTATAAACATATAGATTTAATAATATATTCTATAAATTTTTTCTGGATTTCTACAGTACATTATAATTTAGTAAAACATTCCGTAAAGTTTCTATAAATTCTAGGTCTTTTTGCAATTATATATAATATATAAATTGAGAAAAGTAGTAGAAAATAGCTGCAAGCGTTTTTTTAATTTGTGTGCTTTTTTCTGACTGTGCTAAATCTGGCAAGAATTTCACCGGCTAAACAGGTAATTACCTCAGCTACTTTCTTCGTGTTTCAACGCAGTCTGATTTCCTGCCTGTCCCATATTTCCGTCGGTTGTTTTGGTGGAAATATTTGGGAAATAGCTACTCAATTTGGTTAAGATTCGAGCAAAGAGACCTTAAAATAATTGACGATAAGGCATCATTCCGCAAGAAAGATCGATGCTGCAAGGATAAAGCAAGACCAGCACAACAGCAAATTTG